GCGAAGTTTCATCGAAAATTAAAATTTTGAGATTTTGGGGTTGTAATAGTGGAATAGTACCGAATGTTTCGGCCAAGGTTCAAGGCACAGTTCGCAATAATTTTGAGGTACCCCTTTTAAGTCGGAAAGCGGAAATACTGGTTGGGAATAGTGCATCGGTGGTGAAAAAGCAAGAAAATTCGTCGATTTCGAGAAAAAATATTGCTCCTTATAAGAGGGGAAAATAGAGGTTGGTCGTGATTTCCATTATGGAAATAAGGTGGGTGGGTATCGGACGAGATTACAGCTGTTTTAATTGCGCAAAGAGCTGACTACATTAAGCCAAAACTTTCCAGACTTGTCTTCCACTGTCGATGTAGGTCATGACAAATTGTTAAAACTTCCTACGTGGGTTGCTTTGTGGATGGTGCAGCCTCTACAACGCCGTTGAAACTCGTACGCGCATACACACGGGACAATGGTTGAGCCCTTATAACGCCCTACCTAGGCTTTTTTCTGACTTGGGAGCGCCACATATGGTATACGAGAAGGCGATATATTTATCCTAACGGTAGATCTTATAGGCCAGTTTTCTCGTGAACTGTGCCTTTGACCTCGTATGTGTACAGTTCTCGCATCACTACTACATATACAGTAGCGCTCAAAAGTCTTCGGTGAAATGCTTCAACGCTTTTTCNTCGTTCATAATGTTTTTCTTAGTAGACCAAATCGCGCGAAATTTGGATATGTTTAACTAGAGCATATTTCACCCTAGTATACACTATTTGTCTGCAAAGCTGTAATATCTACAGACAGAGCAAGGTGTTTGTTGCGGTAGCAGATTTTGCTGAGGCTGAAGTTGTTGACGTGTGTACTTATTCGCACCTTATGTGCGTTTCTCTCATCTATTGTGTTTGGCATTACTGCTCGTACACTTTAGACATGACAAAAAAGAAAGAGATTCTAGAAGAACCATCAACCACCATTGAGTTCATGCTCTTTGGAATATCTGGAACATGGCCAGATTGCAAGTTAATAGTGGTAAATATTCACAATACATCCACGCTCCAAATACAGAAATTTCGCCTGATTACATCCAGTAGGAAAGCAGTTACGACTGGAAAGTACAGCTGAACAACCATTTCACCGAAGACTTTTGAGCGCTACTGTATAGTGACTTCGCCGTTGACGTAGTAGGAACTTCTAAAAAATCAGAACATATTTCCCACTTTGGTTCTCACGATTCTCCTAGAATGGTAATTCATGCTTATGTATTTCAGGTCGAGGGTTCCAATGAATTTAAAAATACATCGTGACCGGACCTTTTTAATAACAGTAGGTGTAACGCATTCCCTGACCGAACAATTCTAGATAAACACTCCTTTTTATTTGTTTCCTTGGGATATCACTGCATTCCAGGGTCTAGAAAGATTCGTGATGATAATTTTGCAATTAGCAATTACATCATATTTTTCGATTGTTTTCTATCGTTGGCGTCGAATCTCTACCTCTCTCCATCCCTCCCGATTTACCATTTCTGTGGTCCATTTCGAAGTAATACTAGGAATGCACTGAGTAGTCGACGACCATTTGGCATAAAGAGCATAATTCACTATCATACTGGCTCTTCAGATTATGGGCTGACAAAAAACCCTGCGATTGTGTAGGCGTTATCTATCTATCTGCCGCGTAAAGACGGCATAGGAACAGCGCAAAAAGGTACCCGCTTTNTTTGTTGAAAGCGCCCACCCCGTTCAGGGAAGTTCCCTTATGAGCGTATTAATTAGCTTCGTAGTAGGGGCGCTTCGGGTACATTGTCTTGCAAACAATCCTTTTCCTTCCATCGATATAACTCGTACAGAGCTGAAAATAAATTATCATGAGAGCCACGAGCCAAATTACCATGGCTTCTGAGTATGTTGCGACTTTCCGCACTTATTTTTTCAGCACTGTAGCATTACTGGACAACATCGGGCCATTTCTAACCAATGGAAAGTACAACAGGTGTAGAGCTCTGAGTTTTGAAGCGACTCGACGGTCTAATGGACAACGACGACGGCGACGATGTCCAATTGGCCATTTCCCAATGTCCCTTCAATACGACCCTTCTTGAACCTTGAATATGCTTTCTACTGACTGGCTTGCGGCATTAATTCAAAATATTCGCAACTGGCAGCGAGTTCCTTGCACTTTCTTTTCACAAATGACGTTTGCAAACCTCCATTCCCACATCCGCTGGCTGCACCCCATCGCTATCCCCCACTGTTTCGTTTTCCAATCAAGATTATGAGCTAGCATCAATCTTTATGCGGTCTGAAGATTCAGTTTCTTTACGTCACCAGGGACCGATACGTAGTCTAAAGTTCCCTTTTGCGTCCTACATGGCAGCATACATCAGTCAGCCGATAATGTCGACCATCAAGCAGGACAGATACATCAACGAGCTTGAAAAGAGAATGATAGGAATTCAGCCCCGACGAATTTTTGATGATAACTGCTCCTTAAATAGACGAAAAGGTCATCGGAAGAAATAGGGAAATTAGGCCTTAGAGCGACTATAGGTCTCTCTCCCAAATACCCGGAATATCCTAATGGAGATTAATTAACGTAAAGTAACCCTCCAGGCAGAACGTTTTCAGCACGAGATTGGCTGCTTGTGGCTTTCCCGGCCCTACCACTGAAGCCCTCATCCCACTTTTTTTTTGATAGTAAGGACAACATAGTAGGAAAGACCTAGTTTCTTTGGTGTTTTGTTTTTTTCATAAACAGTGAAATGTTAGCTGATTGTGTTTCAAATTCATAAGCGGATAATAACCCAGTATTCAAATTTTATATAGTCTTAACAGAAAAACAGAAGCAAGAATAACAATGCAGGATACTGCCCAACCACAGAATAGCAAAACAACTAAATCAGTAACAGTGCATCAAAATTCTATAAGTACATCAACAAACCAGACTATTCTCAAGAATATGCCTGAGCTTTCGAATTTGACTGTACAGCGATGGAGAAGTAGTTTATGTCCGTTTTTCCATTAGCGCCTTTTCGGGCACTACACATTAGGCTCAAGAAAAAGCTTTCAAAACGCTTTCTTTCTTACCGACATCAACCAATTTAACTAGGTCGTTCAATGAGCCTCCAATACAACACACAGTGGCTACGTCTGGATTGAATTGGGCGGCATGTAATGGACCAACGTGTTGCATTTCAGAATGTACTTTTGCAATAGATCCGTCGTCTTGCACCTTCCAAACGCATAACATCTAAAAATAACGCTACAGAGAGGAAAGCGGTAAAAAAGAAGCCATATGCATACCTGGTCATGACCAACGGTGACTAATAGACCACGCACAGTGGCAGAGAGTGTCAAACCTCCAACACTGCCGTCATGGGCATGTCCTTCCCAAAGTATTTCTCCAGGTTTCCTCATATCGATGTGGCGAAGGGTTCCTATGCAAGATCTAATAAACATTGAGAAGTAATAGAAAAGGGTTAGAGTCTCGAAATATCAGTGAGTGATTGGTCTATTCCTTCAAATTCGTTTCATTTTTCGCTGAGCGTGAAGGCTTCTGTGAAAGAGAGTCTTCAGAAAAATGAAAATTTCTTTATGCAATGATACTCAAATGGTTTGGCCAACACTTCCTCAGCTGTAACTGACAGTAGATCTGTTTCCGGCAAGCACGTCAATTTCTCAAGGATTCAAACAGGCGAAAACTACTTCAAGTGTTGTCGAAAATAACATTTGCAAAGCACACGTGGTGCTCTGGTATTAATGATGCCAGCGTCCCGGAGACCGATAAAAGCCCGACAACGGAATCATCAATGAACTGATTACGATAAGCACATTGGAAAGTGCAGGATGTAATTTCTGTATAACCATTTGTTACTTCTGCAAAGTATTATGAGCATCCTTTGAGTCACTCATTAACACGAGAATGATAAGAAGTACTGATACAAGTAGCCAGCATTGCATCGTCTCTACAAAATCGGTAAAGTACCTCAAATCTTGCGTCTAGAACTTGGAGCGTAGATGTATATCGCCGTGTGGTTGGCGTCCCCATGCATCGCGTGATCTTGTCGGAATGGGCGCTTCCAGAGTGGAGCGTTGAGCGTCGAGCACCCGTAAACCGCGTCAATGCCAGCGCCGCTGCTGACGGAGTTTGCGTCGGAGCATGTTATTTCCCTCGCGAAGCTGCTCAGATCTTTTTCGCACTGATCTACTCCCGTCACATTAGGCCATAGAAGTCAAGGAAGAAAAATACCATACCATCATGAGTAAACTGGTAAAGTTGAATAACACAGCCAATAGCGATTCGATCAAGAAATAATCTACCGCCGACTTGTGCTGAATGATCGACAACCGGCGTTGTCATCGAAACGATGGTACTCAACGCTATAGTCTGATGCCGATTGTCAAAGAGTCCCGTGCTGATGATGTTTTCAAAGCCCACCATGACGCCTTCACAGGCCAGGGCCATCTTGCGCTCCGACATTCGCGCAGCCTTGCTTTAGTGTTCTTTGATAACCNTAGATCGAATGCGGTCTTGGGAAACGTATGTTCCTACCGAAACAACTGACCACCATGTTTTTGCACCGGGAGTCGAACGTGACTGGGAGACGAAAGCGGGCTAAATCCCAAAACGGGATTGGTTTACGCCAAGACTTCATCCTCTTATTGTCACCATAGACGGGATGAAGGATTAACGGTTAAAGAGTCGATAACTCGTTTCGAAAAGGTGCCATGTCTGCTATAGAACTGTGTCACCTGCTTGCGGTGACTGAACATCGGCAATCGCATAGGGAGCCCATCTTTGAATCTTAGCCTGACAAAACTGGGCGATGGACACCCGACAATCGTCCCACGGCAATTACTGTAGTCTTTCCGAAGATACAAATATCACTCTTACATTGCGCGCTCCGTTCGACACGCTGCAACGCGGCCGCAAGTCGAATATATGATCATACAAACCAACTAAGAGGTCGAACTCGAAAACCCGATTTCTGCGGGATAGCGCAATACCTACCCCTACTTACCAATGTAAAATAGATGTTAACTTCTACATCTTTATTGACTCAAGGCTTCAAAGAAATTAATGGAAGGCTGAGTAAGCTTAAGCAGATATCAATTCAGGGTTCCTCCTGTTTGATGCAATCCACCCTCCGAGAGAAGCTGAATCTCTTCCAACCTCTCAGCGGTAGCTGTGAACCAACAATGGTTAGCTACCGAACTTAAGTAACAAAAAAAATATGGTGATTCTGAATGAGTAATAAAGGGAAAAAAGAGTACCTTGAGATGTTGAATTTCAAAGGCTAAAGCAAGGCCCACAAAGCAGCGTAAAACCTATCCTTCAAGCAATCAACCATTCACCGATGAACCAAACCTTTTTTGATCACGAAATACAACCAAAACATACTTTGAAATTGAATCTAGGTACATATACTAGAATCACCAAATGACAAGACCCCTTTTTACATCAAAAATAATTGGGAAATGCGCTCGGAACAGGAAAATGAATATGCACCAAACTGAGCAGCTGAGATTGTTTTGATAAATGCTGTTCGCACCTTGCCCATTTATATTCCATCAACCACATATAAAAGAAAAAAGTACCGTCATCTGTTGCAACGAAAGCCGAGAATGGATTGAAATGGTTCCACCTCACCTGAAAACTGAAGAATGAGAGGAGATTTAAAACTTCGCCTAGATATTACGCAACGAAACCACCATGCAAAGTATCAGTCTTGTAAGAGGCAGACTTTTTCGATGTATTAGGTTTTGGCTGTGAAGAAACAAGATTTTTGGAAACATCACGATAGTTGCCTTGTCCAGAAAATCAACCACTGTTTCATGGCTACAGCTGTTTCTATTGTTTGTTAAAAAGAAGTTACAAGTGCAACAGTTGAAATTCTGTCAGTTTGTTCCGAGTTATACCAATACGGCTCCATCCTTCCCAAGTTGGATGAATGTAGATGGAATAAAAGTCTTTTAAATTAAACTTGTTCGAGAAAACAAATCACATAGAATTTCAGTCGACCCTACTTCAATTTGAAGTTCAACCCTTGGCAGATCTGGTACTCAAAGGAAGTATCATGCAGGGCACTAATTTAAGGATAAAATATAGAGGTTTTACGATAACTAAAAGAATAGGTGCTGTTTAGAGTCGCACGTTTTCTTTTGGATTATTATTTATAATAATAATCCAAAATAATAGTATAGTAGTATAATAGTATAGAAGAACGTTTACAAAGAACTTACTTGTTCCACCTGAGCACCAAGATTCCACATAGCTGAAGATGAGCCACTGTTTTCTCGACAATCAATAACCTCTACAGTTCCACCAAGAGTACCCGTGAGTATGAAAGATGCTTCGGCTGGATGCCATGAAAGAGCTTGTACCTTTAAAAATGCGAACTTAACAACATTTCAAGCGCAATCGATGTCAAACTGTTATCAAACAATGGCATGTTAGTTATACCTCCCCATCGCGCTCCGGGATTATTTGAGCTGCCTTGGCTTCGTCCAAATCCCACAAAATGATTTGTTTGTCGGCACCTGAACAGCTCTATAGAAGAAGAAACCGCTCAAAGGTAACTCATACAGCGAACATCCTGGTTCTACTCAAAATATATGTATGTGCTTCACAGCAGAGGCGTACGTGACTGCTGTTTTAAGTGGAGCTCATTGGACCCGATGAATAGGGTTGTTAAATTGGCATGTAAGATGTGAATATTAAAAAAGATGGGATCAAAGATTGTTACTCCAAAACTACTTCACTCGCGAAATCACATTTTTTTTGTTAAATGTTGGAGAGGCGCAGCACACATCAAGTAGAATGGATCGCAGTGCTCGTAAGTCTTGTATTTGGTATTAGAAGAGACTTTCATTACCTCCACTCGCTAGAACATGGGTTGTGATCCTATTCCACGCAAGTCCAAGGACAGCATCTGAGTGACCTTGTTGACTTCCATCGCGCTTCCTTCGCCGACCTACCAAACAGAAACGGATATATATACAAAGTGAGCGCAGCAGAAAAACCCGGACTATGCAGAAGAATAGCAGCATTCCTTGATCTTACCTTTACTCTTGGATCCTAGGGATACAACTGGTTCAACAGAGTTCATTATATCTAGATCCCATATGTTGATCACAGGTTCCATTGTACCGACAGAAATAAGATTACCCTATAACTTTGAAAAAGTGAGGTTTGAATGTACAAAATATTCATCAGGGTCCTCTGCTTTCATAGGCGAGAAAACTAAAATGTGATTAAGCCCGACCATCAGTTGGTATATCTGAGGGCGGTTTTGTAAAACAGCTGAAGGTTTCGAAAAAAGCATTAAGCTGCTGTGCACTGAATTCTCAACTTCCAAAACTAGCCCGAATATAAATCAATGCAGATCTGTCTTTACGAAAACAGCTTTCGCTACTACGACCATGCTTCTACTAGTACATCTTCTACTATGGAATTCTGTTGAAAATTTGTGTAAAATTTATGACAAGGTCCACAACTCTCACTCTCTTAAAAAACACTCGTTCCCTAGCTACTGGAAACAGTGGCCTACAGAAGTCGTTATTCAAGAATACTAGTTTGAACAAAGTGCGAAGAGTCACTAACAGTATACGTTTCAGCTTCTGCATCTAAGGGAAGGGGACGTAGAATGACCGGTTCAGTTCTTAAAACTAGCTTAAGCTGGAATTATCAAGACTGTTTCGTTTCTTAAACTTAAGGATGAAAATTCAAACTGCTTCAAATTTTTCAACGTCAAGAATTTCATTTCGATAAACAGAGAAAAATGTAAGGGTACTATTTTAACAGGAAGAGTGTAAGACTAATTCGTGACGCTACTGATCGAAAGTTCTTAAGAGAGTTCGGATTTCCTCAGCACTATTTACTCATCAGTAGTGGTTCCAGGATCAACATTCGCGCTATTTTTTTCAGCAAAAAACTGAGCGAAGTTTCTATTCACCCCACTTCCTTTGCTCAAATCCATTCCTTCCCTCTGCTTTCAAGATCGATATTGCCGTTAAGACACAGTGGAACAAGAAATCTAAGACAATAACCATGCACCCTCAAACAACGGCTTTCGATATGAAGAGATTTGCCATAGAACGTACATATATTGTCAGCCGTGCACTACAGTAACGCCTGCCTGTTCTGGTGAGTCATATCTCTCTTGATAAAAATGTACAATACATAACCACTCATCACAGCTTACCTTCCCAGTTTCATCATTTCCAGGGTCATGTTGGATCGGTTCAAGACATAAAGGGGGTGCATCTAGAATATAATCGTGATGACAATACCAGTCCTCGTTTTCTTCATTATACAGGAAAACATCCAAAGTATAGTTGTCCTGAATAGTAAGATATACATGTTAAAAATGACTTTTATAATATAAGAAAAATGAGAAACGATGCCTGGTTCTCTAGAGAAGTTGGGAACAAAAAAGTCTCATTAATTAACCAAGTCAGATCAACTCAAAAAGGAAGAAACGGGCTGCAACTTGAGAAAAATAACAGCAGATCACATGCACTATCTGCAGATACACCGAAAACCCCGTTTTGCAAAAATTGTACTCCGAGGAAGGGTCATGGTTGCAAAAGCAATAGGAGATAGAACATTTTCTGCACCGAAAAGTGCGAACCTGCAGGTAATACATATGTAAAACGCTCGTAATGGCCAATACCCACCCTATCAATTTTCGCCAGCACTACTAAATTGTCGTCAGGGTTAATTTCAATTTCCTCCTTCTCCTCTTCATCACTATCAACGTGTAGCGTTACGTACGGATCATCAGCATTTGATGCATACATAGCAATCCCTCTCATCCTGGAAACAGGAACCTTATCATGACATATTCTGCTGAGAATGGGCAAAATGGATGACATAAAATATATTCGACCTACGTTCACGGTAGGTGCGGTCCAAAGTTATAAGAAAACCTACCCGCTTTCAGGCTTCGCCTCATCCTCTTCTTTTGCCTCCGCCATTTCTGTTTCTTCGCAGTTATCCGTCCCCTCATTTGCTGCGGATCCACGAACACCTGGTTCACGCTAAAATCGGTTTCGATGAAATTTTGAATCACGTTAGGACCGATCTAGGGGCGAAATAAAAACACCACTTTTTTTCTATGAATAGACAAAAACAAGATAGACAAGAGGAAGAGGATGAAGAAAATAGAAGAGAAAGAACAACAAGTTGTGAACTATAATGGATGCTTGATTTATAAACCTTGGCTTCAGCCTCACCGTCGTTATCGCTTTCCACATCTGATGTGTCAGGAGCACTTCCTAAATACAGTATTTTATAGGTGTCTCAGTACACGTCCGATGGTATGGAACCGTTATTTTAAAAACATTATCAATGAACTAATGCGATTTCATCTTAAGTGGAAAGTGCCTATGCTAAAATGGTAGTGTATCGAACAGTAGCCAAAATGCTTTCATAAGGCAGGTTTGGAAGTCAGTCAAGTAGAACCAGTCGAGTAAAGTAAAACCAAGCTTACATACTCGACAACAGCAGGCTTACCAAAGAAATTACAAACGATCAACAAAATACTACTGAAGTTATTGCTTAATACTTCGCCTCACAGTGTTTGCCGCACACCAACGTAAGATGATATACGAGACGTTTAAAAAATCGAAACAACGAACCTTCTATGAGCTGCCTCATTTGCTCTTCGTTTAGCTTGACTTTGTCCGGAGTTTTCTTAGCCACTCCTCTTTGAATCCAAGCGATATCAGAAATCATTATTACTCCATTCATGATGGCCCTGGAAATGGTGTTTATTGCATGAAACCATATCAATTAATACCAGAAGCGGCCAATTTCAACACGTATTCGAGTTTGGAAAATACATCACGGACATCAGCCTTTTGGCGTCATCACTTAGAGCATTATTCACAACTATAGACGAAATTTGAATAGATTCTGAGCATGGAATTCCAAAACAAGAAAGCAAGCCGGAAATGTCGTCATGACGAAGCCATCTTGCTAAGACGCTCCTCGAGATTTTGAGACCGGGGGATTTGTAAGCAGCGGAGATCGTCCGCAGCGCTCGGAGCCGCAGCATTCGTACTGCCTCCACAGCTGCAACAGCTATGACGTCGGAAGGCAACTCTGCTAGCCGACGGAAGAATCTGACGTAGTTGTTGCTGCGAAAGGCAATGATGATGTCGTGGAGGATATGGAATACGTCACGAGTGAGGTAGCTCTTCCAAGCGTAGAGGTCCAACAGAGATGTCGGATCTGAAATTCCGTGAAGGATATAAGCACTTAAAGTGCGATCACTCACACATCCATGGGGTACGATGGCTGCCGCTTCTGCCCACCTTGAAAGGCACTCTTCTAGTTGAGTGGAATGAAGTTTCCAGTCGTAAGCTTCACACTTTTCCGTTTGGCACTTATAATCAGTTTCCACGTAGAAAGGTATCATTTCGTCAAGAAGTAGCAACGTTTCTGCTGCAGAGACATTTTGGAGAATCATGTCCTGCCGAACAGCTCGGAAGCGATCACAAACAAACGAATACACCGAATTGAATTGCTTTAGCTTTTCACTTTCATAGATATCCAAGAGGTAACGGACGGTTAAAAGGAGTATCTTAGGAGGTCGTAGGATATCCGGATTCAGATGATCGGAGCCAGCTGCTGGTCGTGTGTATTCCTTCACCATTCTTTGCCGAATATCTCTAGACCTTTCGGAAGTATCGTCAAGTTTCTCCAGAGCGTGGACCATGTTATTAGCAAGACGGAACTGAGTTTCAGCTTCCGGGCACATTGTCATACATCTACCCACAACACTATGAGAGGTGCAGCACATTCTTGAAAACAGCGACAAGAACAAACAATCACGACATATTTGTTGGCGAAAATGACAAAAGCAGTCGTCAAATAAATGATAGTCCGTAACCCGCACGTACCTTTGACGGCTACCGTAACCACTGAAAATCCTCTGGTTGCGCTTGTTTGGTCGTGCGCACTATGTAATAGACAGCTAAAATCAAAGCCTCTTCTGGAAGAGCCTGCTTTCCCTGGATTCCTTTTACTCGTTTACCTCGTAAGGTGCTTAGCCGTGTTTCTACGGTAGTATTGCCACTTCATGGAACATAAAATTCCTGACCGCACCCACAGGCACGAAAATTCAGTCCGGCACTCGGCTCTTACAGTAATCCGGCACGTGTTAACACGTAANTCGAAAAGAGGCTCTGGGCAAGGACACGGAGGTGGGGGGTGGGGTAAGCCAGGGGGTTACTGCAAGAGCCGAGTGCCGGACCGAATCCCCGTCGCAGTACCGCACCCCTCCCCCACGCCATGAAACGGGCATCCCAGCGCCCGAGTCCCCAGGAGACACCATTTCACGATCAGGGAACTCAAGGTACTCAAGTTAGCGATGAACCTTTGCTCGAAGTGAAGTAGGATAGCAGAAGACTCGTCCAACTAACTCACCAGCGTGCATTTACGATCTTTTTCTTTTATCAAACCTCCACATGGAGGTACGTTCTCAGCGAAACTCGTAGAAATGAAAATCATTGCGCTCTGCATATGTATCTACCGGCAAGAGCTAGCGCGCAGCGATGGTCAACTACCTAATCTGTTTCGAGTAGAGAATTTAATCAAGCTAAAACGGCACGGAGACAATCGAGGTGTCGTAGCCTCGCTTGCCGACTGCCACCTGGACGGGACCAACTGTCCACGGAGGTTACCCAGAGCCACTACAAAACGAGCCAGATACCGTCAGCTTGGCCTCTCACTCAACTCGTTCGTCTAGCTCTGTGTGAAGCGCCCATCGCATCGTCTCTGGCCGACTTGTCCTGCCCTTCCCTCGATCACGTCGTATAATGTAACCTAATGTATAACTAACAAAGTATGTACATATCCCACCCTTTGTCGCCCACTCATGAACTCACGTCCCGCTACACTCTCAGTCATAGGCCTCTCGACCCTATAATCTGATAGGGGTAGGTGAATTGCTTTCAAAAAGTTGGAAACTTATCGGTGGAATATATTATAGCTGAAAGAGCGAGTGAGTGTCATTCCTCGACAACCACTTCCACTGTGATTTGTTTTCATCTTCTTCTCCCTATCGTTAATCCTGTCGGAGGACCCTCTGTCCTCTGAGATGCAACCACTTCTTTCTATCTACGGCATCTTCTGCCAGTACCTTGGTTTTGGAGGGACCCTTCTTTATCATGTCCCCCCTCCTTCCCTTCTTCGCGGTTGCATATTGTCTGGTGGTCTTCGCAGTATGTACTCATACCACCATAGCAGTCGCTGCTCCCACAACTTCAGCTGGACAGGGGCTGTTTGCATGATCGATCTCAGGGGTTCTCGTTCCGTCCTGCGTGAATGCCTCAGTCCGGTTGATTCCTAAAGCAGCCCACCTGAACATCTTCATTTCAGTGGAATGGAGTAGTCTTCATGATGATAATTTACGCACCTGCACTCGCTGCCGCAGAGCATCGTGAACCTCACAACTTTATCACACCTTTGCTTTCAGCGCCTTGAAGCATCGTCGATCGTAGAGGATGCTACTTGACTTCCTCTACTTCCTCCATGCGGAGCTTTTCAGCTTTGCTTCATCCTTATTAAAGCCTTTACAAGGTTAGCCGACTGGTTAATAATGTGGCTCATGCCTGCAGTGAGGAAACCACGAGTTCCTTCCTTGCCTAGGCAAAATCCATCTCCTACAGCAATTGCATAACAACCAACAACAAATGTAACACCAGCAGACAACGGAAATGGCTGTGATTTGCTTCGTCGGTCCAAAAAACCTGATTTGATTGAAATCATTCTTGATGGCCATAAATCATATCCCCTTCGCTCACCGAAAGCTTCTCTCAATATCGCTCTGGACATGAAGGATTCAGGCTCACCTACAATATGAAGGGAGAACGCTAAATTTGTTAGGAAAAACTCAGTTATCTACCTTATCCTATCATTATGAACTTTTCGTGCCTACCTGTCTTCCTCCTCCTACTCCTTCTCCTCCAATTCTTACTTTATTTACAGCGGTTGCGTCTCTTTGTCAGTGCGTCGTGAGATTCGATATTGTTCGAAGAAGCGTTTGGGAAAAGGGATCAAGTTTATGATAGGTTCAGTCGATGGGCGGGTACATTCTATACAAGTCCATATCTAGATTCAACGTGAACGTGAATTCCCGGAAAACTGAAGGAGAGCGCAAGGTCTAATACGTGATGGACACGTCTAAACTTNGCGTAGCTATTACGATTGGATAGCATACAACTATAAGCATTTTCCACTAAAATGTTCAGAATGCGAGTAAAAGGATCGAGCCTACCAAAGGAATGTGGCAGGATCATCGAAAGAAGTGAGGCGTGCTTAGTGTTGGCAGAGTTGAGACCAAAGATCCATAGTTCTATTCAATAAAGAAGAAGTGGTTAGAGGCTCTTGTTTGAGGAGGGTGGCCGAGCTTCAATAGTTGGGGAGGGTTGGGTTAGTGGAGAGGGGGAGGGGACGTGCGCAGAGGTGGGCCGACCTACGATTGAGAGGCACAATTCTGTTGTACTGCCCAAAAACTTCTTAGGGTTATAATCAACGCTCACTACACATGGAGTGATCCTCATTACTTGCGTTATGTGAAGTTTTCTGGATGTCATTCACTGAGCTATCTCTCACAAAACGATCTCCAGCCGGTTGATGATGATGTTCGCTCTAGAACAGCCGGGTTGCGGGCAGCTAAATCGGTTTTGTGCAATCGATTTACCGCCTGCCGCAGATGCGGACGAGTTGCCTCGTTACCTGCAGTCCAGGAGTTCATCATCCAGCTCGATCGATAGCTATTGTTTCTGGCGTGATTTTGTTTTTTCTTCCTTTCTTTTTATTTTCCTTATTCGCTGCGCTGCTTCAGCTTCACTCTGCTTCTTCATTGCCTAGAATATTTGCAACTAAAATGGAATAACGATAGTGGGGTAAGTTGAATGAAATGAGCTATAAGTATATTTTTAATATTTCATTGTGGGGATTATCCATTCCCTCCCAATGTGCGGTATGGAAACAGGAAGGGGTATGAAACAGTAACCACTTCGGGATTAGATTTATTTTCCAAAAAAGAAAAAAGCACAGATGATTAAAATAACATAACGATGAAAATCAATCAAATAGAAGGTTATTGGCCGCCCCGAAGGAACGGCTGTGTGCCAGTCCTTCGCGAGTCTGCTCTACCTGAAGAAACCAATACACTTTCATACCACTTCCTGTTCCCGAAGTTCCCTCCAGATCAGTCGCTACCTCAGGGGTGGGCACAGCCGCAGTGCCGTTCCACTGGTCTCTCCCCTTTGACAGACACCATTCTTTCATGGGTAATTATTACTTGTTGAGGAGAGAGGACCTCTGAGCTCCTTCTTGGTTGAAGTGCTGTGAGGTAGAGCAACTGCTGTGCGCGTGACCTTTGATTTGCAATGGGTTGTATGCCATTTGAGTCAATAATCGTTGGCGCTAAAAGTGGCGTCGGCGGGAACAGAGAGCTATGAGAACACAACACATGGGATTCGACAGTTGGTATTCTTTTTCTCCTGTGGGGGTCCTCTGCGCCCCAGCACATCTCCCGGCTCAGTTTTTTTTAGGTTTCAGGTGTCCTACCCGTTCATCATTTAGTCGTTGTTGATTGTTCATTATTTGTTGTCATTTTTACCATAATTTTATGTTTGCCAAAAATAAATCGTTTGCTCTGCTTAGTGTTAGCCCCGGTGTGCTCAGTCTAAATCCGCACTCAAATCTACTTGCAAACACTACTGTCTTAATCCTCAATCTTATGAGTATTCTTTTAATGTATGTTTTACGTTTGCTAGTAATTCTATAGTTCCTGTTTGTGCCAATAATGTCTGAATAGTGTCACTACTGTCTTCATCCTCAATCTTATAGTCTTTTTTATGTACGTTTTACGTTTGCAAGTAATTCTATAATTCCTGCTTGTTGCCAATAATGTTTGAGTAGTGGCGGAACTTGTAAGATTCTGGCTTATCTCAAATTAATTTTGCATGAGCAGCAATTGCTGCAATGCTATTTCTATTGACATCACTTTATTCTTGATGTCTATAGTTCGTGCTTCCTGCTGTATTCGTAATATACTGTTATTTATCTGTGTTGGAGACTGTACGTCACTATTCACTTCATTGCTGTCGAAAGATAACTTCCTCCACTTCTGCCCCTTATTATTAACAAAAGCGAAGGGCTGAGCGTAGTGCTGACATTGAGGTGAGTTGCGCTTTTTCAAGCTGCGTTTGAATTTTGTTGTGTTTGTTTCTATTCATAATAAGTCTCGCTTGTTCTCCTGGCATTGTAGAATAGCGTAGAATGTGGAGGAGTGGAATGTTCCTTACATTGTATTCATCCAGTGTACATTTGTTTTTTGGAGATTGTATTCTATTAACCCATTGTGTATTTATTTTGAATACAATATTGTAGTTATCCATTGTGAATTTATCCTCTAAACACTGTATATAATTATCTTTTGTAACGAATGCGCCATCAGTGTAATATTGTTTGAATTAGAGATGCGTATGTGTTTATAACGTTCACGTCAAGACATTGATCTCGGTGGTCAGAAAACGTCAAAGACAAAGAAAAAACCGCCAGCAGAATTACTTTCATAATCCTTCATTATTTATTAAAGCGCTTATCGTTTAAGGAGAAATTGGCAACTTCAAGGAATCATTATCATTGAGAAATCGTTTAGCACACAAAATATGATTCATTGCATTCTCCGTGAACTACGTCAATGATAACAAAAGAGTGGCCATAGGAAAGAAGCAAGGTCATACATGAAACGGACCCTGATAAGGAAAAACACGCACATTATTG